CTTCTCTTGGTTAGGTTTTACTTTCAAACTAGTGTTGGACCAGGGAGGGACAGCTGTCTCTGGACTCTGCCCAAGAAAGGCACGAGGAACAAGCATTTGCCTCCAGCAGAGTCCAGCTGTCCAAGGTGTGTGTGACACTGGAGGTGAGGGAGCAGCCCCAATCTTTACAACCTAGAGAAAGGGAGGTGTCTGGGGACCTTCCTGAGGTGACAGGACCCTTGGGTGACCCCTCCATCCTGTGCAGCTGCTCCCATCCCTGCAGCAGTTCTGCTCTCACCAGCTCATTTCCCTGCCAGAGCAGTGCCTGCCTTGCACGCAGCCTTCCACTCCTTCCTGAAATGTTTTGATGTTGCAGACATGAGACAATTTTCCTGACAAGTACGTGCCACACACTTGGAAGGGCTGGAAACTCTGGACTTCCCAGCCTGTTGTGAGCAACAGAAAGCAACAGAGAGGGATCATCTCCTTGTGCTGCCACAACTTTCTGTGTCCCTGGCACTGATGCAGTGATCAAATGCACATCTTCCTGTAGCTGTCTCATAAGAGCACAGAGCAGCCCAAAGCTGAGCTTTCTTCAGTAGAAACTCCTGTGGAGCTGGAAAGCATTTGCCCTGCAGAGCTGAGGGACCTTCCTCAGCTGCAGGGCCATGAGGTGGGAGAAGTCCCAACAAGCCTGTCTGAGGGAACACTGAATGTGCTCCTGGGAAGCTGAGCACAGGGATTTTAAGGCCCAAGGGAACCTCTTCTCCCTTGACTGTTTGCTGCTGGACCCCTCCCCACTCAGGTCAGGGCTGTGTTCAAGGGGTAGGTGCACACATACACACACACACACACGTGTGTGAGCAGGCATGACACTAACATGTCTGACCACACAGACTCACCAGAGACAGCTGTGCCTTTACTAGCACCCCCAGAAACAACATCACCCTCAGCAGCAAACTCTCTCCTCTTCCTGCTGTGCCTGAGCAGGTCTGCAGATCACTGCTGAAACATGCACAGGCACATCCCAGGGATGGTCCCTGAGGTATTTTCATGGGCTCTGTTAGCCATACCAAGACCTCAAGGCTCTTACCCACGCTCCAGCTCAGTTTTTCCAGATGTATCATCTCCTCCCACCCTCTGGCTGCTTCAGTTTGAATTTCCCCGGCAAGTTACAGTTACACATAGACATGCACACATACAGAATGGGATTAATTAATTAAGGATTGAATAAAGAAAACCACAGGTAAACTTTGGACGGGTGGTACCCAGTCCTGCCAACAGAGAGACAGCTGAGCCCGTGCAGAGCCAAGTCTGGTTAGGAGGGAGTGTGTCTGCAAGAACTTGCACAGATGGTGTTTCTGCCTCACCCTTGGGAAGACACAGAAGAAGCTGGTACCAAGTGCTTTGCTTGTGGATCTTTAGGTGGTTGGTGAGTCCTCTCTCCTCAGCCTCCAGCAGCTAAGCTCCACAGAGCTTCTCAGGCACTGTTCATGGCCGCTGCTCCGGCATGGAAGTGGAGAATTCAAGCCAGGTCATATCTCTTCTATATGTGAGTGAAGTGAAGGAGAGATGACTCCTTGGCTTTCCTCTCTCTCAGAATCACAGCCAGAAATCCATGAAGGCAGGACTCTCAGAGGGATGAATCCTAGACGCTCTTCTTGTTGCTTCTCTAAACTGCCTTTTCTGTATTCTCTGAAGACTCTCCAGGAGCCTGGTTAAGAGGAGAAGATGCATCTGGAAAAGGACAGCACAGCAGGATAAACTCTGCCAAGTCTAAAATTAAACTTAAGAGGGCTTAAGAGATCAGTTATACAAGATACCCAAAAATAACTTAGAATAAATCCTAAGAGGAATAGTGAAAGCACTGCTGACTTCTTCAGTTCTCAGTAAGATGCATGCCTGCATGGGGAAGTATGGATGTGGTCTATAAATACCACCAGTGGTTACCATTGAATATGGAGAGGGGGTTTCCAGTGCTCCAGCAACAGGAACAACAAAGGGAAGTGTCAGGAGCTGCTTGTGCAGTTCCTTCCAATGACCTTCAGCAGTAAGACAGGCACAATCCAGACATCACTTGCTGGAAGTGAAGTGACATCCTCACAAGCCTCCCTGTCTCCAGTGTATTCTCAGTCTTTGTGCTATGGCTCCAAAAGGACTTTTTCTGGATGCTCCAGCATTTTCTGTCCCTATTATTTAAACTGGAGGCCTCACCACAGCCATCTCTCCTGGGAGAGATGGTGTTCTGGACATGCTGATTAGAGGGAGGAAGAGGATGCACATTCCTCCCAATAGCCTGTGACCACTCTCCTCCTGTCCTGCAGTCAAGTCACCTGCAGCCAAATACTCTCATACCATCAGCTTGCTCAGTACCCACACGTCAGAAAGGCTCTGTGCCTTGCCATGTATCTGAAAGACACCACGTACCTCCACACTCTTTCTTCTCCTTCTGTTGCTCAGAACATGCTGGGAATACCAGAACTTCCAGCCCTTCCAAGTCTATGGCACGTACTTGTCAGGGAAATTGCCTTGTGTCTGCAACATCAAAACATTTCAGGTCTCAGAATAGCCTGTGCTGTTTCTGTAGTAGCAAATGCCATTCCCCTTTGTCTTGGGATAACATGCTGAAGAGTAAGGTATTTGTTAAAATTTTCGAGTAATGTGACCTTGGATTCACTGCAATCACAGGTGAGAGATGATCAGTGATAGCCAGTTAGCTTGAAGTCGGGTTAGAATAAAACTTTCTTAAAAATAATAGCTTACATCTGGGGGGGGGGAAATGGAGAAGAAGAAAAAGAAAAAAACCCAACCACAGTACAAAACCAGACCCAAACCACAGATCCATATGGCTAGAATGAAAAATCCTGCTTAATCTGCTTATATCAAGTCCAAATCTGAAGGTCACTTTCCCGATATTCCCTTGATTTTATGTCAGTGTACTCCTGGAACACCTCATGCCCTAAAACTGAGGCTCTGGATGAGCATGTTTCTTACTTACAGCAGTCTCTTTTATAATCCAACTATTTCTGTGGATTTCTTGGTCAGTGGCCTAAAGTACAGCACATATGAAAAGAAACTGGGGGGAGCTGGGCTTGTTCACGTCCCTGAAAATAGAGAAAGAATGACTACGAAAGTGCCAGAGCAGCCGGAGGAGTTCAGGTTGGGTGTAAGGGACCACTTCTCCAGAAGGGTGGTGCAACCTAGGAGCAGAGCAGGGGACAAACTCCATGCTTGGAGTCCCTAAATGATGGGTATCACCATCCTGGAAGCAGTTCAGGATTTGGCTGGAAAAGTCACGGTTGACCTGAGCAGGTGTTAGTCCTGCTCGGAACAGGAGGCTGGACAGGAGACCTGCAGGGTCCTGCCAACACAGCCCCTCTGGGCTGCTGTGATTTCTGTGATCCATCAGTTGTCTTTCTGTCTGTCTGCCCCAAAACTTCATAACTTTTCCATCTGACATTCCTTCTGCTCAGTTAGAGCCTGCCCTACCAACCTCTTTGGACAGAGAGATAGGTGATGATTTGGTAGGTCCTTTTCTTGACTGCCCCGTGGGCAGTGCATGAATTCACAGACCAGAAATCCTTGCCCTGCCATGGAGTTACCAAAATGTTCATTTCAATGTCAAGTGAACCTTTTCTTTTACAGCAACTTGTACATAGACAACAGACTATGTGCACAACACTTCTCAGTGTATTTAGCATGGGTTTAAAACTGCAAAAATAAATTAAAAGCAGTAATAATAGCATTATAATAAGAGACTGTTATGGCAGCACAGCCATCATTTGAATGGTTACGTTTATCTCAATCCTACCAAAAAGAGAACAGAAAAATTAACATTTTACATTGGTTTGTACATATACTTGTATTAAAACTAAGAAAAAAATTTTACACACTGACCTCGCCATAGCTGTGGCATTTCACTGTTTATTCTTTTTTAATGGCTCACATTTCCTAATTCAGTCCTTTGACTCTGCAATTAAAAATGAGCAAAGGTAATAAACATACCCCTATTCCTATAGCTGCCTTTGCTTCAATTAAAGTCTGAAAGGGCAAAAGGGATTCTCCTCATGACCCCTGGCAGACCTGCTGAGCTCTGACTCCTCGAGTAGGGTGAGCTGTTGGGCACCTTGGAATATATCACATCAAAGGGAACACATGCCCTTGGTGGATGGATGCACCTGGGGCAGAGGAATTATTTTATGAGCTTTGACTGCCTGAAGAAATAAAAAGAAAGGTCCAAGCATCCACCCTTAGGATGTATTTCCTGTTCAGAAGCAATTGGCTTCTCTGCAAAAATAGAGGTGGAGTCCTAGGCAGAAAGAGTTTAATTTGAAGTAATAAGTGGATGCAGCAGCCACGAAGCAGAGGGAGTGGTACAGGCTGTGATGCTTGGAGCAAGGCATTTGCCTACTTTATAATATTTTTTTAAATTTTTTTTAATGCTATGTGATTGTTTAACTTCTTTATGCTTCAGATTTTGTCTGATCTAGTCACGTGTGCTATCTGTGTTTGGAAACCTCTGTGCCTCACACCTGGTGGAGCACAGGCATTGCCCAGTGATGGGAAGAAGGAGGCCAAAAGTGTCAGTGAAGGAGGCCAAAAGTGTCAGTGAAAGAGGCCAAAAGTGTCAGTGAAAGAGGCTTTTGCCCTCCCAGTGCAGGGAAAACCTCTGTGGTGTCCTTCTCTGTGTCACTCCATCCCAAGGGCAGCACCGTTCCTGGCCTTGGGAGAGAGCATCACTGACCCAGAAGGGACTCAGACAGCAAAGAAGGCTTTTCTCCATGACCTGTATCCCACAGTCCTGGTGAAGGGACTGTAAATCCTAAGGGAGGGTCCAGCCCTGTGAGCTGGGTGGGTTTGGTCAGGGTGGAGGCACAGGTGAATGTCTGCCCTGAGTGTGAGACAGCCCTGTGGTCCTGTAGAGACTGGGGTGGGAGCAATGGGCAGGAAGGCAGCCCAGACAGGGGGCAGAGCAACCCCAGTGAACTTGTGTGTCCTAAAACAATCCTTTTCTTTTAAAGGTGAGAAGTGTCGAAGTTTTATTGACCTTGCCCCGGCTTCTGAAAAAGGTAAGACAATACACCCAACGGTCTGCTCAGGCCATGAAGATATTTATGGTCAGAAGAACGCAGTCACACAGTGCCAAATGTCTCTTTGTGAGAGGGAATCATCTAGATGCTCGTTTGTTTGCTTTACCCTTTTAAAAAAATTATATATTCAAGTGCATGGAGGCAAGCTGCAAACATTTTTCCTTGCCCTGCTATTGGAGTTTAACTAATTAATTATTGAAAATTATTTAATTCTCGAAAGCAATTTAAACCATATTTAAAAATATTATCTTTAAGGAAAAAAAAAACATGTAGAGTTGCATTAAACTGGGTGGCTGAGCCCGTCCTGCTGCCAGCTCCAGAGCAGAGCACTCTGCCCACAGATCAAGAGGTGCCCAATATGTTTTGTGAGATCACTTGAGACAATCCCAAAACCTCCTGGGCACAAGGTGCCTTCATCAGGTGTGGTGGAGCAGCAGTAAGTGGCGTAAGGAACAATTGTTCTGAGTTTGTCTGAATTGCTGATCCGCTGGAAAACGGAGAGAGAGGCAATTACGATTAATAAAGCAGAGGGTATTGCAGTGAGAGGAACAGTCACAGGGAGCCTCTGTGAAATCCATTGTAAGCAAACCCAAATAAATTATGCACATAAGGGAAGAACAAGCCTGGGATTACTGCTGCTAATGGGCTCCGAGTTAAATCTCACACACACAAATGGGACCTTGGGGCATAACTGCTCTTATGAAACCAGCAGCTCAATACCCAGCAGCAATCAAAAAACAAACTGTCTGCTAGAAAGCATTAGGAAAGGACTTGAGAGCGGAGCAGAGAGCATGAGGGCTGCACACATCTGAAAGCTTCACCTCTGTGTAAAATGCAGTGGGTTTGTCCTTTTCAGTGCAGCTGACAGAACAACAGCAAGGATAGCAAAGTTCTGGAGAGTTCTGTGAAAGGACAAGAGTGCTATCCTGCAGCCTGAAGGAGAGACCTGGGAGGAGATCTAATGGACAGTGATGAGGATGTAAGAGGAGCTGAAGAGGCAGCCTGGGTGTTAAGATCCAATTCCTGAGTGGTTCCCCAGCCCAGGGACTGCTGGGCACAGCATGGCACCTTCAGGAGGCAGAGCAAGCACAAGGTGTCTGCTACAACGGCAGTGGAGTGGTTTTCTGCTTTCTCCATTTTCTGTAGGACTTCATTATGGTGCAGAATGCTTGGTTCCAGCACCCACACACTTTCCAAAACAGCATTTAGTGCTTTACTTTTAGTATTTCTTTTGGTTGTGTGAAATGCTGTCAGCATTTTTTTTTTTTCCGGAGAATTTTAGAGTTGCTGCATGATGTCAGTGCATATTTCTAGACAATTCTGTTTTTCTTTTTTGAGGAAGGAAGGCTCCTTTGGTGTAGTGTTATGAAGAAAATTGTGTCTGTATCTGAAGTCTTTCCATGGAGCTGTAAGGCAATATTGACAGAGAGAGAGGGCAATGCTTTGTCAGAGATGGAAAGTGCTGACCACCAGACTCATAAACAAAGCCAGGGTAAATTCCACAACTGTAAATCAAGTTGGACAATGCAACACCGTTAATCTGAAATTTTCACCATCAGTCTTGTAGTGTTCAGAGAAACTCTCACCACATGTGAAGAGAAAATTGTGTATCAACAATGCCCAGTTTACTTTCACTGAAGAATTCTGTAATTATTTTAGTTAATCTGCTCTTTTCCAGTTAGAACTTCCTATTCCTTTAATTTCTTTATCCTCTCCCTCAGCATTGACTTTAATGGCCAGAGGCTTATCAGCTACTCAGTTCCAGCGAGTCCTAAGACAGATTCTTGATTCTTCTTCCCCCAAGTAAATGAGATAGGATAAAATACAGTGAATAGCAAAATTTGAGTTCAATTGTACAAACAATGTGGGTTTCACAGTCCACTGTGTAACTGGGAAATTTTGGACTAAACTTACCATCACAATGAGACTTCAGCTTACTCAGTTCCTCTTGGTCTATTCAATATTCTTGTATATTCAACAACCAAAAACTGATTGTTCAAGGTTTTGATCAGCTGAAATATCTCTATAGTACATGGCCTGTTACTGCAAGTGAGCACTCAGGCTTCCCAAAATTTCCTTTTCAGCTGGTTTTCCCTGATCCAAAGAGCACCTCTGTCTGTCTGACCAACTTCTAAGCCAAATACACGCTCTTGAAGCCTGTGCATACTTCTAAGCACATCACCTTCCTCTTTAAAGACATCCTAAAAAAGGGCCTAAGAACAAACTTGGCCTAGTTATACAGCTCATCTCTTCCAGAATCCATTGCCAGTTAACAGCAGGATAGTATACAACTCCTCCATGATATTTAAAATAGTCTAAGCATAGAAAAACCAACCATCAAAACTCACAGTAAATAAAATCACGTATGGTCAGGTCTAGTTACATCCTTATCGCAGATCTTGCATTCATAAATGAAAAAGTGTCTTATTCTTACTGTAAAAATCTAATAGTTTATGGCTGATCTTCCCATCTTTATCCATTAGTGCTGATCCCCAGTGCAGTGTATCTCTGATCAGTTATTATACCCTCTGCATATATCTCACCAGTGACATCTACTAAAAGGAGGCAGCAAAATTTGGGGCAAACAGACCCACAGTATGGTATAAATAAGCATTTCCAACCCACACTAGGAGAGCTTTTTCCTGCATTTAAGGCAGCTGCCAGCAATCTGTCAGAACCTCATAAGCCTAACATTGAATTTATTAGCTGTTGCTGGTTCTTAGTGCCAAATCTGCTTAACAAAATCAGCTTCGTGATGGTAGATAATAACTAGGAAAAAAAACCATTTTCTTATGACAGTTTGCATTTGCTATTGATAAGAAATGATAGGGCAATAGCTCGTTACAGGATTTTTAGTGGGCTCTCACAGAGCAGATGTCAGGTCCCACAATGTATGCTCTTTTCTAATTTTCATTACAGTTGTGAGCAGTAAAACAGCAAGTACTTCCAGAAGGAGTTGGAAGGAAACTGTCACAGTAGGTTGGACCTGATATTTCACTTCTGAATTGCTTCTGGGATCTTCTACTCAAAACTTAATCAAAGTTTTGTTCCTGCTGAGTATTTTGCTGCCTGAAGAGAAGGGTAACCCACTTAGTGAGGGTCATTCGTGTCCCTCTTGTGGTGCCCAAAACACTGAGTCTGGGGCACACCACCACACTCCTCCTCCCATTGCACCTCATGGGTGCACCTTCTAGATCCTCTTTCCCATTCCTTCAACTCTGTGCCCAAGAAAACTTCCAAGAGGCTGTAGAGGACACGTTCAAAAGGGAAAAAAACAAGGCCCAAAATTACATCTGGAAATCATGGCACCAGAAGGGAAAGCAAAAGGTTGCAATATATCCCATGAAATGAGCTGATAAATGGCTTCACTGATTGGATAACAGAGAGCTGGATGCACACATAGGTGTGTTCCTCCCCCTGCCCAGGGCTCTGTGAGGACTCAAACTCCCCCATCCTTCTGTAACACATCACTGTCAGCTGTCAGCCACAGTGAGAGGAGGGCAATGAGGAGTCCTGACCAGCCCAACTCCTTGTGGAAGTGAAGGCTGGGATATGTAAAAAGCAGAAGTCATATGGAAGCAGCACTTGTGCTGGAAACATTTTGCTGGAGAAGAACAAGGGTTTGAAGGAAATGTGGTGCCCCTGAGAGTTTTTGGGATGGTGCTTATAGGGGCTGGGACTCAGGCACTTTCCAAACACCTGGAATGCTCACAGCACGCATGGAATTGAGGTGCTCTGGCTTGAGGAGCCCTGTTCTGAAGTCGCTTTAGGAACAGGCTCAAAGGTCAGTGTTGGCTTAAAATTTAGAGATGGCCACAGCAACACAGGGCAGGATTCAGGGGGCAAACTCCTTCCAGGTATTGAAAAACCTGGTCTAAGTTAATCTAATGCTCTGCAGGGCCTCTCTTACTTCAGCTGTGATATCTATGGAATAATTCCCACAGCGAATGGCAAAGCAGCAGCAACTGCCCGGATTGCACTGCTTTGTCCTTACTGACAGGGAAATCCACATGCATAAAATTAACTAGACTTTTTAGACACCACAGGCAAGGCTAAACCTTGCAGAAGGTTTATCTCGTTGCTAGTGAGCATTTAACAGTCCAAAATGTTACAGGGGACTTTTCAAATCAGAGGCTGTCCTGGCAGAGGTGGGAGATGCCTTCTGCGTGTCCTCTGCACAGCTCATGATGATGCATCCTGGAGAGACAGGGCAATAAAAATTCTGCACTGTCTAAAAAAGTAGCTGGCAAAGCCAAGGCAGCACATGGCAAACAGCAAGTAAACAAATCAAGTCTCACCTAAACACAGCACAGAAAAAGAGGAAGCCGAGCCAGTTCTGGTCGTGCTGCTAAACCAGCACTTCAACAGCAATTAATGAGAAGGGAAACTAGATGCCTGATTTTAATGGATACTGACATAATAGGTGTACCAGAAATTTGATGGGAGAAAGATAATTAGTAGGACATTAACGTCTTGGTGCTGATTACACTGAAAGACAAAGCAGATGTCGTGTACTAAAGCTGAATCAGAATAACAAGGTAATGTCATTAATGAGCAACACAATCTCTATGGATGGATTCCACGTTCAGATAAAAAATGCAGAATGATATTAGTGATCACCCACTGGGACAGTTTCACAGGTAGCAGGGTTAAATGTGATAAGGTGTAAGGACAGAAAACAAACCAGTAGTAGACTCCAAAACCCCATCTACAGACTGAGGAGTGCTGTGCTAGGTATGATGCAGAGACTAAAATCCGGACAGACTTTGTGAGCGTGGAGAAATCAGTGGGAAACTTGTTAATCTTGACTTACTCCTGAGTGAGGAACTTGATTCAAAATGTTAGTAAAGATACCCTGTATGGGTGACTAACAGACATTCAGTCTCCTTCAGAAGGAATAAGAGGTTTGGGTTTTTTTTAAGTCATGAAGGGAACCCGAGAAAAGCGAGAGCAGATTAAAATACATTAAAATGTTCAGC